ACACTGACCTTTCTCTCCCCAATCGGTGTTCCACGAGTTTGAAATAAGCCAATACTTGACACCATTCTCTATTCCCCATCCAATAATTTTGACACCATGAGCACCCAATTGATTGCCAGCAGTATGCTAAAAGGGAGATGAAATAAAATTTTGAATACCAATCTTTTTGTTTTGTTTTTCGCAAGAAACGTTGCAAAAGAATACCTATTCAGCAGAAAACCTTTAAACCTTGCAAACCAAAACAATTAAGTTTTTTTAAATCTTGAGTAAGGTTAAAGAAATTGGATTTTAAAACGTTGGCGCATGTGCAACAAGTCGTACCGTGTAAATTCCGGAACTATAATGATCCAAATCTTCGTAGTACAAGAATGTTGCTGTTACAGGTCCATTCGTCAATATTTCTTTTTGGATTGCTGTTTCACTCGGTTGTACTTTGTAGACCGTTTTTGCTTTAAAATACGATTAGCAGCTAGGCATAGTAGTTTAGACAACAAACCCTCTTCAATTCTACATACCAAAAATTTTGTCGTCTCCATAACTCTTGGGATATCCAGCCGAGCATTCTCTTCTGCACTTTGGAGTAGGCATGTTCTTCACATTGCATTCGCCATAGTAGGGTTGGTCTACACGGCGACCACATGGGTGGAAAACATATGGTTTGCACACTCCCTTCACTATTCAACTTTCTGCTTGGTAACACACAGCTAAGCAATATATATCTTACTTGGGTCCCATAAGGTCCTCCAGTACAAGCTCCAACTTTGGCCAACCAGGCGTACGCTCTGAGAGTCGATCCTTTGTTACATCTGAAACAAATGTTTGATCAGTAACACATATGTTTGGAAATGGAATAAGATTTTGTTTTTGATGTTCCTAAAAACAATACCCAGAACCGCAGAGTACGCAACACGTGAGGATGTCAGTGGCAGAAAGCAGATCCTACAAAAGATAATTATTTGTAACTAGTTCTCTCGGTTATACAAGCTATCTTACCTGCCTTTCTCCGTTCGAATGGATACATAGTCTATCAGACATAGCTGAAGCTGTTGAGACAGCCCAACATGAACCTAATGCGCAGAAACGCTCAGCAAAATTTAGAGATTCTAGTTTAAGAAATAGAAAGCTTACCACAATTTGCTTGATCACGAATAAGTTTTACAGATCTACAATTTGGCCACTTTTCTCTAGCATCAAAGCTGGAAAAATTCGTTTTAGCAAATTCAAACGTTTTCGCTGATATTAGAAGTTGTCTAAATGAATATTACTGCTTAATATATTTAGTTTGTGATAATTGTTACCTTTCTGGAATTTCCTCTTCATAATGGGTTTCTGTTGCTGTGGTGATTTCTGGCACATCTTCTTCCGAAAACTTTAGATCTATAGCAGGAGGTTTGGGCACAGAAGAGAGGTTTGTCTTAAGTTATATCAATGACATTTGGATACATAACCTAGACACGTTCACTCTCTTTACCACCTGGAAGAATGGCTGGACATAGTTAATGTAGTCGACAAGTTCTTGCCCCTTCAGACGTTTAGCGAATTCGGGAATTGGATGCTTTTTGAACTCCGCTGTAAGAAAATGAGGTTAGGTACACAATGAGAATACTTTCACTCGCAGCTCTTCTTTTGTGAATCACTCACTAGAATTTGAAGTGAAAATTTTTGGAACCATTACTAATGGCGAAAGTATATGTTGTAAAGTATTTCCAGACACGAAGGAGACACATAGAACTTACCTATTGAGATAGACCTGAAAGCCGTAGCACAAGGCGCTGCCAACAAAGCTAGGAATATGATCATCTGAAAAATGAGAATTCTTTATGTTGAGATGAGGCTTCAACAAATTTATCTTCATGTTTATTTTGTGTTTTGTTAGAAATAGTTTGATCTAATCTTATTTCTATTTAGTCATTTTTATATTCAGCATTAGTATCCACCACCTTTTCGTCCCTCATATAACTTTTTGATGACTCTTCTCCAAATCGTATCCGGCAAAGATCTAAAAAAGCGGGCTCCAAAAAGCGTTTTGTTGCATAGATATGCTTGTGGACTTTAAATAAGTATGGTTAGATGCTAAGTCTGGAAGGTTAGATGGAGCAAAATTCTCGTTCTTACATTTTTTTTCTGACGAACTGCTTGCAAAGTGTGGATATGCATAATCATAAAGGAGGTGAACATACGCGAATCCGACGACATAATGTTCATCTTCTTCTTGACAACTTCTCATCGTCTTTCTGTTCAAATTCCTTATTCCGTATTATACAGCACAGATTTCAATTAACACATAGATGTCCCATCTCTAACGCTTTGTGGAATCTTTTCTCACACTATCACCACGAATCTTTCTTAACATAAAAATCGCTTGGCCATTCAACGATTGATTTTATTGGTAACTGCGTGAGAAAATCAGCTCTCGTACCCAATAATCATCTTTGAGAAGCTCCTTAGAAGTATTATGGTAGGCAATAACTCGCAGTGCAGGTTCATCACTTGCGACATTTTCCGATCTCTTATAATTGGTGGCGTTACCTCTCATCCTGTGTTGGAAACTTTGATCTTCTATCATACATTGTCAACAAGTTTCACCTATGAGCTTGCCAGGAAATAAAGTAGAAGTCTTGCAAAAGTTTTGGTGCAAACTAGTATATCCACATCAGGAAATCAAAGTTAATAATCCACAAATAAATCGATATGCAAATGAATACAAATTCTTTAAGGTGAAAATTATTGTGTACTCATGCAAATCTTTTCACGTGTTTCCATAAAGAGATCCAATACCAAAGTTTTAAAAACCGTTTCCCGTCATATTAGAACCACATATTCACTTAACTCAGTTTTTAATAAAACTAATTTTAATTCAGCTTTAATCATTTCTCAATTCATAATTATTATATGAGACCTGAGATCTTCCATATTTAGAGTTAATTTGATTGTATAGAAACCGTAGCCACAAATCCCATCCAATTTTATTATATCCCGCATCCGCCTTCTCTTCCATGAGTGATATTGGTAAAGCAGCTATTTTTTACTCGCATACCATATATTTTCTAAAAACGCTATTCCGTAACGCCACTAATTTCTTTTTCAATCAATTTTCGTACTGTCGCAAGTTTTGTAAAGTTTGAAATTTCAAGCTTTTACCTAACCAATTTTTAGGGTGTGCGGAGCCAAGACGACATTCATATTCTCACTGAATATGGTGGCGGCATATGGCAGAAATTCAGTTGTCGTGGCATGGCTACGGCAATGTAAGGTAACGTTAGAAAACTGGGGAAATAATGAGTAATTTAGATCTAAGATTAAAGGGGTGGAAAGGAATGCAAATTTGCAGCAGATAGTGTTTGGACCAGTGAAAATGTGTGCGTCAGTTTCAACAATACTTGGGCATCTGTCATTGCGCAGGATCATCTTTCATTTTTTTGAAACCATAAGAAAAAAGCAAAAGAAATATGTTTCTTGCATTTTGGCTTGTGTGGCATGTTCACCCCTTTACGGAGTCTTCCTTGCATAGAACCTCAAGAAAGCTTTGTGAAGGAGTATTTGCGATAACCCTTTCTAGCCACACCTG